GGCTTCACGCCTTTGTGTATGTAGCTCCCTCTGACTGAAACACTTGATATCTTTCTTACCTAGATGACTGTTACTTATCCTGTAAGATTCAGCTTGAGTGTCACCTCCCCTGAGAATTCAGTGGCCTGAAGGCCAGAGATGATGATGATAGGGCTGTCCCTCCTCATACAGCTCATTAGGTCCCAGCTGCCCTTGTGGCCCAGACAGAAAGAAAAAGAAAGGCAAACTTGCAACCAGGAGGCATGTGGGCCAAAACAGGGAAGAGGAAGAGAAAGGAGCATCCTGTTCTTTCTGCCGACATCCCCAGGACCTCCCATAGCCCTGGTACACAAGCAGCCCTTAGTAAATATGGCCCTGAATGAAATGAGCCCAACCTAGGATTATGTCTCCTGCTGATGTCCTGTGTACCCTTGGACAACTCACTTTACCTCTCTGAACCTCAGTTGCCCCATTTGCAAAGATCATAAGCCCAAACTCCAGGTAATTGCTTCAAAGAATAAAATGAAATAATGGGTATGAACCCACTGAGTGAGCTTCAAAGCACCTTGCAAGTGTAGGGCATGGCAGATTAGAAGACTGCCCCTGTGTTAGTGTTCATATATACCAATGGAGCCACCTTTCTCATTAGTGTTCTCATATTCAGTACATTCAACAATCTAAATTGTAAGATTATACATTTCTCCATGAAACTTAATAAAGTTATTTTTACTCTTTATGAAAAAAAATCGCATATGCCCTTAAATGCTATTATTTTTCCTGATTTGTTTCTCATGCAAAAAAATAAAAATAAAAATGCTGCTCACCAACTGAATTAAACCAAAAATCTCAATGGTCCTGCACGTTGCTCTGCATCCTGTGGACATGTAGTGGTAATAATGGTGGTCTGCTCCTTATTTACATTTGGTGGGAACATTAGGTGATGCTGACCTTTCAGGATAACAGCCCTTTGGAGTGGAGACTATTCACCTAGCATGAAGTAGGAACATCACTGATGTGTTTAGACACACTGAGGGAGTAGGTACCTTGGCCATTACGACATACCACGGATGCATGAGAATGAGAAGAAATCCTGGGGACAGATGGAAGCAGAAAAAAAGGAGATTTTGAATAGGATCCATCTACCTCAGCATGTGTCCCCAAATGATTACACTCCATCCAATATCCTGAATCTGGACAGACAAGGTGGTATATTCAGTGGCCCTTTGTAATTTCTGCCTCTTTCATCAACAATCTTTCTTAATAAATAGCTTTATGCATTGTGCCAAGCACTTGCTCTCTTCCTGAGCTGTCAGCACAAGTACCTGACACCAGGTAGACTTATACTTCCCAGTAGAAAACTGTACTGCTTGTCTCTAAGAACTAAAAAGAGGGAGTGTGTGTGTGAGTGTGCAAAGAAGAGAGAGAGGAAGACCATAATTGCTAGTATGGGTCTTTCCAACTTAGTTTTATAAGGATCTAGACAGCTTGGCTGACTGCAGCTCTGATTCTATAAAACAGAATTGATTTGCAAAGATCTGGGCCAGGAGAGGGCACACCTGGGAAGTGGCTATGAGATCAGAAGAGAGAACAGAGGTGGATGCAAAGTTATCTTGAGATCTACAACATAACAGGGGGTCCAGGGCAGCCTGGTCCAGAGCCAGAGTTTAGTGCTCCCCAGCAGACGCCATTGAGTTCATGAGCACCAAGAGAGAACCAAGTGTCAGCCTTCTTCTTGGAACAGAGAGGAGGCTCTGTGTGAGTGGAAAATTAAAGGTTTGCAGAGGAGGTGTTGTTAGTGTGTTAAACCTGAAATTACACTGAATAACTTGAAGCTGCACTGTTGCTAAAATTCTGTTGTTGCAGCTATTCCAAACTGCAATCCACTGTTTTGGGAGTTTCACTGTACACTAAACTGACAGGGAGATTTATAATTGCTTAGATGAGTGTTCTCAAGCCTGGCTTTTCTTTAGGATCTTCAGAAAATATGATGCCTTGGCTTCACTCTGGCCCAAATGAATCAGAGTCTCTCAGTGAGGTATCCAGAGGTGGGTAGTTTTAGAAAGCTTTCTAGATAATTCTATTGTGGAGCCAGGGTTGAGAATTGCTGGCTTAGGCTGAGTGGGAAAGAGATACCAAAGGAAGCTGGAGATAGTGTTGTGATTCCTGGGCATCACCTTAAGCAAGGAAAGTTTCCTCATGTTCATGCTTGGATAGTGCTGGAATATAAAGAACCAAGTCACCAAAAGATATGATGGGTTTGCCACAGGGATGGCAATAATGAGTTTAGCCTGTGACTACCAGTCAGAAAACAAACTTTGCAGACCCCAAAACATAACCAGGAAAAGACAAAGCTGGTGGATAAATAACACTTTTAGTTGTGTGTTTTAGTCACATATCAAGGATTCACAGAATAGAAGTCCACTAAATGTAGCTCAAGATTAGAAAGGTTTGTGGTAGAGGCACAAAGGGTAAGTTCAAAGCATACAGGGATTTGGACTCCCAGAGCCAGGAACCAGACACTCAGGGACTGAGGTCACTCCCTCCATCTCTCAGTCATTCGATCTTCTTCATTTCTGGTCCTCTATGCACATCTGCTTCATTCTTCTATTGAAGCTGGATTCCTCTGATTGTTTATTTCATACAAGGCCCAACACAAGTACTCTTACCCTAATTTATCACCATCTTTTAGGACCAGAGTCCAGCACTGACTGCCCATTAGTACGATGTCTCTTAGTTCCAATTTTTGAGAGAGAGGAATTTGGTCACTAGTCCAGCAAAGGATGGCAGATCCAACCTAGCCTTAGGTCAGGTGTCAATCTCCTCCCATGAACTAGGCTGAGGGTAGAAAATGTCATGTTGTTCACAGCCTGAACGTTCTAGAAGACCACAGGAAGGGCAAGCACTTGTGTAGAAGCTATGAGCAGGGCAGGCAATGAAGTACATCTAATATCCATCCATAACCAATGTACCACATGCCCTTTTTTTCTTTCTCTTCTTCTAACTCCCAAGAAATGGGGGAGCATGGAGGAGCGGGAGGGAGATAAGGAAGACTTTGAAAGAATGTGTTCTGTCTGCCCTCAGGACCTAGTCTAGCATCTGAAAAAGGTAACCGCAGACTGGCATGACCCAAAGACAGTGTGCAAACCTTCAACCAGCATTGTGATGTGCATAATTCTACATGTGTTGTCTTCCTCTGGAGGCCACTGAGAAGTCCATTTTTGGCAATGGTGAAAGTCTGAGGATGTTCAAACAGAGATTATGTGGTGGGATCAATTTTAACCCCATGCTTTTTGCTGCATTGTGGCATGTAAAAAATGGAACATATTTAGAAATTAAGGAGGATTCTCCTCCCCTCGGGTTTTTCTGTGATAATTTGGAAAATTTGCAGTTAACATGCTATTACAGTGGTTTGACAATTCACTTGACAGCTCTGAAATAATGTTCTTGGCTCTTCGATGACACAAAATGGCTCTTTTCAGAAACTTAGCACTTCAGCCAAGTTTTATGTTCATAAAAAATGGTGGTGTGTGAATTTCTTAAACTCCCAAATGGAGAAATTGTGTGAAAACTCATTCTATGGTCCAACATCACTATTGCAGCAAAGAATTTATCTGTCCTATCCCCTTTTTCCTCCAGTCAAGTTCAACTGCGTTGAGTCAGGAGTAGTCTCTGCTTGGGGGTCACACTTAAAGGGAACAGCCTAGGGTAAACCCGTCCCCCAGCCTATGGGCAGTCTGAGTATCCTCTCTCTCTCTCTCTCTCTCTCTCTCTCTCTCTCTCTCTCTCTCTCTCTCTCTCTATCCCTGGGTCTAGAGGAAAACTAGACACAAAGTGAAGCCAGGAAGGAGAAGAGAGTGTACAGGGAGAAATGGGAGAAGCCGCAATAACAAATGTTGTCTATTTTCACTTTGTGCAGACCTTGTGGTTCTGGAAACCATGGCTGTGGCCTCAGCACAGTGCCATTATGCCAATGTGCAGTCATTTATTTTCAAGCCTTAGATGGCATCAACTATTTTAGCTTTTGCCCAAGTACAGCTATTGGAGATTCTGGTTAATGAAAAAAAGGAAGAAGAGGAGGAGGGAGGAAGAGGAGGAAGAAGGAGAAAGAGAAAAAAGGCTAATTCTTGTATTTTACTGACAAAACGAAACACCTTTAAGCCAAAAGCATGATTTATCTGTGCTGAAAATAAAACTGCTGCCTTCTGAAGTCTGCTGCAGCTGAGTTATCACTATTTTCACCCCGTAGTTTGTTTTGTAGGGTACTAATTGACAGGGCAAAGTCTGTTGCCAGGAAAGTTAAATCACATTTTGCTGTTTTCTGCGTTTCTAACAAGACGCAGACCTGGTCTTTAATCGAAGAGCAGGTTCCAAGGGTGCTATCAGCTCCTGAAATCAGGAAACATTGGGCAGAAAAGATCGTGGAGAAACCTGCTATGTAGAGTTCAGTAAAACTAGTAGGAGAGAGGGGAATTGCACAAGTAACCTCCAAACGAAGAGAACGTTTTCCTCAAATGTCCCACGTGTCCTCTTTTTATTCCTTGTCCTCTGCTCCCCTGGCTCTACCACTAACACCCTTTTTAAAAGGTGTGTTTCTTTCCCCAGCTCATCCCTGTCGGTCAAGCAGCACTTTTGTTTCTAACGTAGCTACTCTCCCGTCTGACCCCTGTCCCAGCCTCCCCCTCTGCAAGGCTGCTTCTTTGACCCGACTGCTCGGTGACCTTTGACACTGGGCTTTGCTGCCCGGTTGGTGCCTCTCATCCCTCACCCCTGCCCGCCCAGCTCACCCTCTTCAACTGGCCTCAGGTCTTCACCCCTTTGTTCCTCTCCTTCTCTCTCCCACATCCCATTCCTGGAGATTGTGGGCTGGGGGTGGCCGCTCTGGCCTCTCCCTCCTTTAGCCCTCCGAGAAGTCCGGGGGCCGGGGGTTAGGATGGGGCCCTTGAGGAAAGTGAGTGCCCGGCTTGCCCCCGGGAGCCTGGAGTCTGGAGCCTGGAGCCTGACGTCACCGCGCCCTGGCTGTCAATCTCTGGCGCGCGCCGCTCGCAGCAGCCTTTACTGCCACGGTGTCTCTCACTTGCTGCAGCACCGGCACGGCGACAGGCGCCCAGCACTTGCCTCTTTGCCGGGCCGGCCGCCTCCTGTAGGCAGCTGCTCCGTCCGCGCGGGGAGCGCAGCCCTGCGCCCCGCCACGGCGTCCATGACCAGCGACTTCCTGAAGACCTGACTCCACAGGTGAGCGGCCGGGCTCCCCGGAGGAACTCTGGAGCGGGGAAGGGGTGGCGGATAGCCAGGGAGAGGGTCTTTCCCGAGGCGGGAGAGATGGAACCTTGACTCCAGCCCCCCACAGACACAGACACACACAGACACACACACACACACACACAGACACACACACACACACACCCACACACACACACACACCCTAATTCCTCTCCTCCCACACCCCCTTCCCAGGGGTCTTGGGCTCCACGGCCGTCTTGGGCTCCGCGATCACAGAAACTTTGCCTTCAGCACCGCGGACAGCGACTCCGCTACTGTACTCGGGGGCGGCCCCGAGTGCGCTCGCCACAGCCCGGGCGGACTCTCCGGGCTGCTACTCCTAGCTCGGCGTATTTGGGTGGTGTGCGAATACGGGCGCATTTATGCACTGATCTGCGTGCATGTGACTGCATGTTATCCGTGTGTGTATCTGGGCAAAAACTCAGAAGTCCCTGCGGGCACCTGGTGCGTTTCACTCATTCATTCAACAGGTACTTATTGGGGTGGGGGCGGGGATCCCGGAGTGCGATGGGCAATCGGAGCGGGGCGATTCGAGCGGGGCACTTGAGCCTGAGCCAAGTTCGCAAGCAGACTGAATGACACACCTGACGCCTGCTCTCCCCGTCTGTGCAGGGTACAGCAACCGACCGCGATGAACGCGAGCGCCGCCTCGCTCAACGAGTCCCAGGTGGTGGCAGTGGCGGCCGAGGGAGCGGCAGCGGCGGCCACAGCAGCAGGGACGCCGGACACAGGCGAATGGGGGTCCCCCGCAGCGGCGGCGGCTCTGGGAGGGGGCAGTGGGGCTAATGGGTCGCTGGAGCTGTCGTCGCAGCTGCCGGCGGGGCCGCCAGGACTGCTGCTGTCGACGGTGAATCCATGGGACGTGCTGCTGTGCGTGTCCGGGACGGTGATCGCAGGTGAAAATGCGCTGGTGGTGGCGCTCATCGCTTCCACCCCGGCGCTGCGCACGCCCATGTTCGTGCTGGTGGGCAGCCTGGCCACCGCCGACCTGCTGGCGGGCTGTGGCCTCATCCTGCACTTCGTGTTCCAGTACTTGGTACCCTCGGAGACTGTGAGCCTGCTCACTGTGGGCTTCCTCGTGTCCTCCTTCGCCGCCTCGGTCAGCAGCCTTTTGGCCATCACTGTGGACCGCTACCTGTCCCTGTACAACGCGCTCACCTATTACTCGCGCCGGACCCTGTTGGGCGTGCACCTCCTGCTCGCAGCCACCTGGACCGTGTCCCTAGGCCTCGGGCTGCTGCCAGTGCTCGGCTGGAACTGCCTGGCCGAGCGCACCGCCTGCAGCGTGGTGCGCCCACTGACGCGCAGCCATGTGGCACTGCTCTCTGCCACCTTCTTCGCGGTCTTCGGCATCATGCTGCACCTGTACGTGCGCATCTGCCAGGTGGTCTGGCGCCACGCGCACCAGATAGCGCTGCAGCAGCACTGCTTGGCGCCGCCCCACCTCGCCACCACCAGAAAGGGCGTGGGTACGCTGGCTGTGGTGTTGGGCACTTTCGGCGCCAGCTGGCTGCCCTTCGCCATCTATTGCGTGGTGGGCAGCCACGAGGACCCAGCCATCTATACCTACGCCACCCTGCTGCCTGCCACCTACAACTCCATGATCAATCCCATCATCTATGCCTTCCACAACCAGGAGATCCAGCGTGCCCTGTGGCTCCTGTTCTGTGGCTGTTTCCAGTCCAAAGTGCCCTTCCGCTCCAGGTCACCCAGTGAAGTCTGAAGGGCTCCTCCGTGTCCTCTCACCAACACCACACCCCAACAAGCCAGCCTTTGGTGAGCTTCTTGACTCCTGCTGATGAACTGTGAGATCACAAATGCTGGAATCTGACTTTGGAAAGAAAGAGGGAATGAACGTACATTTAACAAACTTACAAGAACAAAGAGGCTTGTTGGCACTTTACATATACAGTGTATACATGTGTACATATATATACAAATATTTGTATCTTCTGGAGGTGTTCAGGATGTGGAGCTTCCTGTTCTGTGAAAAACTAACAAAAACATGTGGTTGTATACTCAACTTGTACATCACATTAGTCAAGTGAAGACATTCCAATACTGCTTAATTACAGCACTTTATTTTTAGCTGCTGAAGTGCCAAAACAGTGTTGCCATTTTCAAGGGCAGGGGAAAGGGAATAAAAGGAGTATTTTTGTTGTATGTGATAGAATATTTTGCTGCAGATGCATCAACAAATTACAACATATTTTGTACACAAATAAACACATTATAAAAATATTATAAAAATGTAATTTGGGGGCATGTGACTGTATAGATTTACTAATTGAGATTTGGATTTTGAGTGTTTACTTAAATGTTTACTATGTATCAACTCCCTCTTGAGAAAATCTTTATGTAAAAAATCATATGCATTTGCACATTGTTCATAAATTTTCACTGAAATACCTAACCTAGATCATTGTGATAGGAGGGGGGCAGCAGGAAAGGAGTAAGATACTCATGTAACAGTAGTCGCAGGACGTTAATGGGTTTTCAGTGTTCTTAACGCAAGTTAATCTACTCCCTTTGGTTACTTGGTTTGGAAAACAAGTTTCAGAGCATGTCTGAAACCATTCCTTTGTATCACCCCATGTACACCTGTGAATCATGAAAACACAGCTTTCAATTGTAGTTCTTCCAGTATGGCAAGAATTTTAAATGTTGAAAATTCATATTGACTTAGAACATCGTTGCTGGCCAGGTCTTGTAGCAAAATGCACAGTCTTATAAAATGAACAAATTCTTCCAAGGATTCCGAGTATAAACCTCGTACCTTTAAGAGGTAAATAAAGGTATATCCAGCATCCCCTCTTGAGGCACACTCATCTTCAAAACAGGGCATTAGGAATATTCCTGTTCCACTGATGGGTGTGAGTCATGATCACCCTCCTCCCCTTCTTACAGGATGATGTGAGGATAAATAAGAGAATAAATGTGGGCTTCTTTGAGCCCCCGTGAAGAAACAGGAAAATACACATAAGCAAATGTGTTTATGCATTCCACAAAAATATTTATTGAGTGCCTACTTCATGCTAGACACAATTCCAGGGCTGGGAATATAAAAGTGAGCAAAATAGGCAAAAAGTCTCTGTGATCATAATGTTACATTCTGGTGGGGGAGATGGCCTACAAGCAAATAGGGGGAGAACCTTGACTGATACAGGAAGGGTGGTGAATTGAAAAAGTTAGTTATAGACTCCTAAATGGAGAGCTGATATGGGCAGTTATTCATTAGTTTACAATGCTTCTATAGCACTTACTATATGCCAGACACTGCTCTAACCACTTTATGAGTATTAGCTCATTTAGTCACCATAACAATCTTGAATTGGTCAGGTCCCAGCAGGAAATAAATGGCACATTCAACCCAGGTGATTGAGAAGAGTTTAATGAAGGGACTATTTATAAAAGTGTGAGCATGGTTAAGGGAAACCAACAAGGGATGGTGAATTTCCCCCGAGCTAGCACCAGCCTGGCTGCCAGAAAGAGAAAGGGAGGAGAACAATTACTAGAACCAGGATAGCAGGTTGTAGGTTTTGGCTGCCCAGCAGGAGTTGTGGCCTTTAGTAGAGGAAGGCAGCCACTGCCAAACTATAGCCTGGTGGGGGGAAAACTGGGAGAATAAATTACCAGAACACCCTCTTCTCCCTTCATCCCACCTCCAGATGGTGCCTTCCATTAATTAAACTCAACCAGAAGCCAGAGAACAAGAAAACTTACTGGGCTGCAAGAAGCAGTCCACAAAGGTCAGCTTCCTTGGGCATCGAGAAGATAGAGAAGGGTGAAAAGTAGATCTGCTGGTGCAAACAAAACATCCAGCATTAATGCTATGAGCTAAATACTGTTATTATCCCCACTTCACAGACGAGGAGACAGAGGCATACAGAGGTTAGCTACACACATCTGGAGTTCAGGAGAGAGATCTAAGCTGGACAAATGAATTTGGGACTTAACAATATATAGGTGATATTTAAAGCCATGGGTCTGGATGAGGTCACCTCGGGAGTACTTGCAGACAAAGGAGAGAATAGGGCAAGGTCTGAGCCCCAGGGAACTGAACTATTTAGAAATCAAGAAGACAAGGAGGATAAAGCAAAGGAGAAAGAGAATTGGTCAGTGAGGTGGGAGGAAACTAAGAGAGCACTGTGAACCAAAATAAAGAAGAGGAAAGTGTTTGAGAAAGGAGTAGTCAGCTGGCTCAAATGTTGCCTAGAGAAAAGTAAAATGAGGTCATTAACAAAAACTAAAGATTTTGTAAGGTGAATGTTATTAGTGAACTTGACAAGAGAAGCTTCAGGAGAAGGAGAGGGTAGTAAAGCTTGATTGTAGAAGGTACAAGAGAAAATGCATGAGCAATCTAGTCTCCAGCAGCTCACAGCAGAACTGTGACCTTTTCAACACTATAAAACACACTATGTTTTATAGATGCAGAGTTTTATGGTGTCTATAAATTTAGAGCCAGGAAGATTATCATTATTGTTTATTTGTCAAATTGAAATTTTCTAAAGAACTAACCTTCATAGACTCTTCAGCCTCATCAGACAATGTTTCATGTTCTATTAGCATCTAGAATGCATTCAAATGGACTGAAATACAAAAGCTCTGGCTGTTAACTTCCCCACATGTGGGGCAAACAATATAAGAGACGGAACAAAGAAGTCAATATTATTATACATTTCATTATTACAGAGAAAAACTTCTTGCAATCAGAACATTCAGAGAGTTCGAGGCTAAAATAATAAGACAGAGATCATGGATCTGACTTCAATCCACTCAATATTAATATTCAACATCAGCCCTAGTCCGAATCTAAAGGTTTGGGAGAGTCAAGAATAAGAAGACACTTATTATCAGGGTTAATAACGCCGACTTACACATTTGGCCAGGCTGTGTAATGTCAATAGGCTTGACATTAACCAACCTGGTGATGAGAATATAAAACTGTAGGTAGGTCTTGGAACATTTTCATAAAGGAATGTCACATATTCATTTGACATATCAAATATTAATTAAGAATCTCATATTCCAAGACTCTATGCTGGTTGCTGGACATATACAGTCTTTGAGAAAGACAAGACTCTCTCAAACATCCAGCTGCCTAACCACTTTGTCATCTAATAAGCATCCTAAATTTAGCACATTTAAAATTGGGTCACTGATCTTTATCCCTAAACCTGCTCATTAGCCCTTATTTACTAAGTTAATAGCAACGTCATCTTTCTAGTTGTTCAGCCTGGAAATCTCGGAGTTACACTCACCCTTCTATTTCTCTCCTACCTCACATCCAATGTGTTAGCAAAGCCTGTTGTCTTTACCTTCAGAATATACCAGAATCCAGCCAGTTCTCATCATCTGCACCACTATAATTATCTCTTGCCTGAGTTACTGTGGTAACCTCCTATCTGGTCTCCTGGCTTCAGTTCTTGTGCCCTTCAGTCTATTGTCTATACAGTGGCTCATCCCCACGAGCAGTTTCTCCCTTGACTGCTCTTCACGTCCAGGTACAAGCCCACCAAGAGTGCAGTCCATCTCAAAAGGACAAACTTGGGGAAGAGTTATATAGGCCCTGAAAATAGGCCTTGAGTCAGAATTTCTTGCATAAGGAATTTTGGGGTCCTGGGTAGCTGGGGCCTGGTGTAAAAGTGAGGACATAGATTCTTCACCCTGAGAAAGGAGCAGAGCTACAGGAGGTCTCTAAAGCATAAGCCCAGGGCAGGGCCCCACTTGCAGTCTATTGTCTATACAGTGGCTCATCCCCACGAGCAGTTTCTCCCTTGACTGCTCTTCACATCCAGGTACGAGCCCACCAAGAGTGCAGTCCATCTCAAAAGGACAAACTTGGGGAAGAGTTATATAGGCCCTGAAAATAGGCCTTGAGTCAGAATTTCTTGCGTAAGGAATTTTGGGGTCCTGGGTAGCTGGGGCCTGGTGTAAAAGTGAGGACATAGATTCTTCACCCTGAGAAAGGAGCAGAGCTGCAGGAGGTCTCTAAAGCATAAGCCCAGTGTATTTGTTTCCTATCACTGCCATAACAAATTACTACAACCTTGGCAGAAAGCTTAAAATAACACACATTTATTCTTACAGTTATGGAGGTTAGAAGTATGAAATCATTTTCACTGGGATGAAAATAAGGTGTCAGAGGGCTCACTCCCTCCAGAGGTTCTATAGGAAGAATCTGTTTCCTTGCTTTTTCCATCTTCTAGAGTTGCATTCCTTGGTTTTTGGCTCCTTCCTCCATCTTCAAAGCCAGCAGTGTATCATCTTGGCTCAGTGGTCACATTGCCTCCCTCTAGTCAAATCTCCCTGTGCATCTCTCTTATAAGGACAAGATTGTGATTACATTTGGGGACTGCCCAGATAATCCATGATAAATTCCCATCTCCAGAGCCTTAATGTAATCACATCTGCAATGCTCCTTTTGTCATGTAAGGTAACAGGCACAGCTCTGAGAGCAGTACTAATGAAAAGTACAATAAAGGTATGCACAGAGTGGGAAAGCATCCCATAGGAAAGTCAGAAAAATGTTGTAGAAGACTCCACCAGGGAGGCAACACCAAGCTAAGTCTAGAAGAACAAAAGAAATTTGCAAGGCGAAGGGCATTGAAGCAGGTGTTCCAGACCAAGAGAGCAACAAGAAGCACAAAAGCATGGCCCATTCAGCTGAACATAGGAGAGAGGAAAAGGTGCCTGGCAGAGCAAGGCCTGACAGGAGGAGGACAGGGTCCAGGGCACAGTGTCAGAGGAGAGAGGGACTTTGGAGAAGGTACAGACAAGGCTCCCCTGCTCTGGCAGGAGTCAAGGTGGGAGTAATTGGTATTGATAGATCTAAATTTATGGGTGGTGGGAGGAAGCTCACAGAGCTCCTGCCTGACAGCCTCCATTTATCTGAAGGAAGAGTGCCAGTGAAGAGACTATGACAAGTATCAAGAACCTAAGTTGATGGCATTGGGAGCAAAGCTGCAAACTTGAAATATTGTAATCATCCTATCAAAGTTAAAGGTCAGACCATACATTGCAAGGATGTAGAGCAATCAGAATTCTCATATACTGATGGTGGGAATGTAAAATGGTACAAACACATTGGAAAATATTTTGGTGGTTTTCTAAAATGTTAAACATACTCCTATCATATGACCCAATCTTCTACTACTAAATACTTACCCCAGAAAAATGAAAGTTTTTGTCCATATAGATTTGCACATGAATATGTATAGCAGCTTTATTTACAATAGCT